AAATTCGGAAAAGACGTTGGAAGTATAAAGGACATACTGCGGTGTCGGATACTATGTTAATTAAGCCCACATAACCTATTCTAAATTCTGAATATGCTAGTTTATTCATTCTTCTTGAGTCACGTTTCGACCTTGTCAATTATTCACTTATCGAGTCTGAATGTATTTGTATGAGCATGTGTGAGTACATCTTATCCTACTCATCATATGTTTGTAGCTTATTTTTGTGTAACTATCAGTATTGATTAACGCTTGATCGAATCGAGTTGCCTCACTTGCCTTCTCCAATCTGCTTCGCTCTTCCCTTTCTGTTTTGTCTCCATGATTGCCTATCCAAATGAATAATGAGTACATGAAATATATATTCAAAATCCATTCTCGTATTTGGCTTATTTAATTCTGTTGTTCATTAACGCGATCGAAGTCGATGATTATATACGAGGATTGACGACATGTGTATTTCAATAAGGACAATCATACGATCTAACTGGAGCCAAATATAGGGCCACAAAGGTGGTGAGCCTGTCCATAACATCGTCCGACGTATTTGACGTCGAAATGAAAGGCCTCATTAAAATACACTACAAAAATCACCAAACTGTATGTTTAACATTTATTCATGATAAAACCAACTTTGTTCGTGTGTTTACTAAAATCTGTTGTGAGGCAGTTACTCACTGAAGACAATTATGGACGGTGGCGCAATGTTGTGGATTGGTTGAGATTAGACATTAACACCGTTGGATGCCGGATCAGCAGTTCAGATGTAAGGCGTCCGTGCGCGAACCCGAAGATCCTAGGTTCGAATCTCACGTGAGAAATAGTGATGCGCATTGTTGAGGAATACCATACTAGGACAAATCGGCAGTCCAGTGCTTTCAGGATGATTTGGTCCTAATCAACTCATACATTCAACTATTACATTACTACAATTTCCACTGACCCTCATTGTAAAAGTGCATTTATCGATTCATATGTCGAAACAGTTTAAAACATAATGTATTAAATGACAACAAATGAACACACCCAAATGTTTAAGAAAATTGTTATTTTAAAAGAAAATTGTTTCTGTTCTTAATCATTTGTAAGTTTTATTTTAGTAAACTATGAGTCTCCGATTAAAGGAAAATCAGTTTCCATGACAATTTAATTAGACCCATTCGTACGATAAAAATAAAAAGGCCGAACCATTAATTGTTTTGATCAGGAACGTTTTGGCAACATTCAAACATATTTGCCTTTATTATAAATCTCGTTAGTTTATTTGAATTTCATAAATGTGTAATTAAACACAATGACCTTTTAAGTGTTTACTACCCGAATATTTAGATTTTAAATACAAGATGTAACACAATTTCAGTGTATCACTTCACACTACTGACATATTTGATTTTCTTTTCTATCTATCTTATACTCTGTTTGAATTAGCTATTTCTGTTTTTTATGGTTGATAACTGTCAACAAAACATGCAGATACTCTGCTTTTGACTCTTTTGAATTCAATTAGTAAATGTACTTGGTGAATCATTTAGCTACGTCATTTATTAAACTGGTTAGTAGATAGTGTATCGTAACATTATCATAGGGATTGATATTTTCAAACGATTATCGACTTTTGTTTTAGCTTACAGAGTTACAAAACACAGTTGATAAATCTGCTATTTGAACGCTCAATCCGATTTCCTAACCGATCCTGATAATCTCAGACTGAATCTACATTACAACATGAATACAAAAGAAAAAAGTGCAAAGTGAAGAAACAAAGACTAATGCTAAAGATTTATTTGACTTTTAAAATCAATCATAATGATTTATGAATACATTACTTTTTATATGATTCATTTACAGTTACATTTATACACCAAAGATCAATTCTATGAGCGGCTGCAATCAACCATAGAGAAGTGCTCAAGAAACGACCGCACCATTCTGACGGGAGATCTAAACGTTAAAGTTGGAATAGACAACTTCGGATATGAAGATATCATGGGATGACATGGACTGGGTGAGAGAAACAAAAATGTGGAAACATTTGTGAATCTGTGTGCATTCAACAAATTGGTCATAGAAGGCACAATATTTTCACACACAGGCGTTGACGTAGCTTCAGATCACTACCTTGTTGCAGCCAATTTAAAACTGAAGCTAAAAAAGAACTGGACAACTGGAAAAACAGGTTCAATTCAGCCTTCCTTCGAGATACTGACAGACTCAATGAATTCAAGATAGCTCTCAACAACAGTTTCCAAGCCTTACAAGATCTACTGGAGGAAGAAGAAACTACTATGGAGGACGACTGGAAAGGCATCAAAGAAGCATTAACTTCAACGTGTCAAGAGGTTCTGGGTCTAAAGAAATACCATCATAAGGAGTGGATATCTACAGAAACACTGGACAAGATCAAAGAAAGGAAGAACAAGAAGGCAGCAATAAACAACAGCCGAACACGAGCAGAGAAAGTCCAAGCACAAGCTGAATACACAGAAGCAAACAAACAAGTGAAAAGGAGCATTAGAGCTGACAAGAAGAAATACGTGGAAAAACTAGCAACGACGGCGGAAAAAGCTGCAAGAGAAGGAAATATGAAACAGCTTTACGATACAACGAAGAAACTAGCAGGGATATACAGTAAACCAGAAAGACCGGTCAAAGACAAAGAAGGCAAGCCAATCACCGAAATTCAACAACAGCGGAACAGATGGGTAGAATACTTCGAGGAACTTCTGAATAGGCCGGCTCCAATGAATCCACCGGATATCGAAGCGGCACACACAGATCTTCCCATAGACGTCAACCCACCAACGAAGGAAGAAATCAGAATGGCCGTCAGACAAATCAAGAACGGGAAAGCAGCGGGTCCGGACAACATACCAGCTGAAGCACTGAAGTTAGACATCGAAGCAACTACAAACATGCTTTACCTTCTATTCAAGAAGATTTGAGAGGAAGAACAAGTGCCGATGGACTGGAAGGAAGGACACCTCGTCAAGATTCCAAAGAAAGGAGATCTGAGCAAATGTGAAAACTATAGAGGCATTACACTGTTGTCAATACCAGGGAAATTCTTCAACAGAGTGTTGCTGAACCGGATGAAAGATGCAGTAGATGCCCAACTTCGAGATCAACAAGCTGGATTCCGTAAGGATCGGCCGTTCACAGACCAAGTAGCGATCCTACGGATCATCGTCGAACAATCAGTTGAGTGGAACTCTTCACTATACATCAACTTCATTGATTATGAAAAGGCATTTGACAGTGTAGATAGAAGAACGTTCTTGAAACTTCTTCGACACTACGGAGTTCCTGAGAAGATTGTCAATATTATCCGGAACTCATACGACGGACTACAATGTAAAAGATCGTGCATGGAGGACAACCGATAAACGCATTCCAAGTAAGGAACAGAGTCAGACAAGGCTATCTACTTTCTCCCTTCCTCTTTCTTCTAGTGGTCGACTGGGCTATGAAGACCTCGACATCTGAGAGACATCACTGCATACAATGGACAGCTCAGAATCAATTAAACGATTTGGACTTTGCAGATGACCTATCCCACTTATCCAATATACATAAAGAAATGCAGATAAAAACAGCCAGTTTAGCAGCACTTTCTGCATCAGTAGGCCTCAAGATACACAAGGGGAAAACCAAGGTCCTCAAATACAACACAGAGAACAGCAATTCAATCAGACTTGATGGCGAAACTTTGGAAGATGTAGAATCCTTCACATACCTGGGAAGCGTCATCGATGAACAAGGAGGTTCAGATGCAGATGTAAAGGCGAGGATTGGCAAAGCAAGGGTTACATTTCTACAGCTAAAGATCATTTGAAACTCAAAATAACTCTCAACCAATAACAAATTCACAACCTTCAATACGAACGTCAAGATAGTCAGTTCTACTGTACGGGGCTGTAACTTGGTGAACTACTACAACCACCATCAAGAAGGTACAAGTATTTATAAACAATTATCTACACAAGATACTGAATCCATTTGGACGGATACCATTGGCAACAACCTACTGTGGGAGAGAACAAACCAGCTTCCAGCTGAAGAGGAAATTCGGAAAAGACGATGGAAATGGATAGGACATGAATTACACAAATCATCAAACTGCATCACAAGGCAAGCCCTAACTTGGAATCCTGAAGGGAAACTGAAAAGAGGAAGGCCAAAGAACACATTATGTCGAGAAACAGAAGCAGATATGAAAAGGATGAATGGGAACTGTAAGGAGCTTGAAAAGATTGCTCAGGACAGGATGGGATGGCGAATGCTGGTGAGAGGCCTATGCTACTTCACGAGAAGTAACAGGTGTAAGTAAGTAAGTAAGTAAATAACATTTATCTAATCACATTTATACACATTGAACTGGATTATATTTAGAATAATAATTCATTAACTTACTGTTTGTACATATATTAATAATATTCTAGAATGAAGCTCCTATTATCCTTCTTAAAATGTGAATAGATATTACTCACGATTGGGAAAAATAACTTTCATCTATCATTCGTACTGCAATCGACAATCAGGAAGACAGTATAAAGGTAATTGAGTAAGTAATCAGATAAAAATACACGTTAGATTATGGAATACAGTAGCTTATTATAATTAGTTGAGTGGGCCATGGAGATTCGTTTAATGTTCAGTTTGTTCTTATCAGAGGATGACATAAATTGAGGAAACACTAGAAATTAAAGAACACTAGACAACCAAGGAAATCCTCACTAATGAACATACATGTCCTAATCCGAAATCCAATCTAGCTGTGTCAGTTGCACATTCTAAATGGTAAACGTATTAGAAGAAAGTAGAATATACAACTTGAAGTCAGTTAGTAGTGAGTAAATGTTGATTAGTAATCTCGAAATCTGCAAACAATCCCCCTTCTGATATATTACAAATATATGAATGAATGTTCGTTAAAATAAATAATAGAAAGAATGAAAACTTTCAATTATGACTTATTATTAGTTAATTAATTAATTAATTAATTAATTATAACATAATTTATCCAATCGTAATGATTTCCATAAATTAATTAATAAATATGAAATTCCTTTAAAATGTGCTGTAATAAATTTTTGTCTAAAATCAATAATATTCTTTGAAAATAATATATTCTCTATATGTATAATTGATATATTTAATTTATTTAATACAATACCAATTAATACATCATCAAATGGAAATAATTCAATAGAATATAATAATTGATTTAATTGATTAATTAATGATCTACTAATGATAATTGTACCACCAAGTGGATAATTTGGATAATAATCAAATGGATAAATAAATTTTGATATATACCATTTACTATTAATTTCACGAAATGGTATACCATTTTTAATTACATAACCACTAATATATGTTGAATAGTCTATATGATTAATATTTAATAATAATTTAATTAAATGAATAGGATTCACTATAAAATCTTCATCAATAATTAAAATAAATTTTGTATTTAAACAATGTAATGTAGCATATTCAATGGTACCAATTAATTTTCTAGTTAAATTATAATAATTTTCAATAAAATTAAATTGTATTATATCATTATATTGTTTATGTTCTAATAATAATTTCGATTGTATTGTTGAATTAAACCAATGAGTAAGATTTTCTCTACCTAATGTAAAATAAATATAAGCATAAATACCATAATGAATATAACATTTTTTATTAGCCCATGTATTTCTCAATGTTTGACGTAGTTCAAATTTATTTATTCTTGATTTAATAAATATAATAATATGTGTTAAATTATCATTATTATCATTATTATTATTATTATTCATTTTCATATCACAATGATTTAATGGTGCTAATATAGTTTCAATAGAACTTCTATTGAATGTTTTAAAATAATCATAATAATTTTTAGAATTTTTATGATTGAATTGATCAATTAAAGTAGTATGATTAGATTTATTTAAAAAATTTTCATTGACTTGATATAGAATTGGAAATTCTTCAATATTATGTAAAAAGATAATAGTTACTATGATCATATTAAAAAGGAATATCATGATACATAAGTGAAAAATATTTTTAAAAAAATAATATTGAATAATGAATTTAATATTTTTAATTTGATGAATTCGATTTAATAATTGATTAATTATAATAATGAAGATATTCATAGTTTGAATGGATCAATTCATTCAGTTGATTGTATTGTATATAATCTGTGAATAGAAAATAAATCGAAAAGAAAACAATGAGTAACCTGTATTTCTTTTCTTTTCTTTTCCTTCTTTTATCCTTTTTTTTCTGTTTTTACAATGTATGATTGTAACGAATTGAAATTTATATAAAACTATTTGATGTCAAGTATGTCAAGTGATTTGTTCATTATGATATTGTATATAATATCAAATGCGTAAAATGCTGGTTGCTATTATACTAATGGTTGAAGTTGACTAAAGTCATTATACATTGATATGAAACTAATATTTACAAATATTAAAAGCATTATTGAATCTCTAGTAAAACTATCTCAATGGTACAAAATCTTTGAATCATTTCTATTAAATAAAATAAACATTACAATGTCATAGGTACCATTATTCACTCTCTCCAAATGTAGACGAATTCATAATAAATTCAAAGATAAAAGAAACTTTTAATATAATGCAACGTTTAAGTAATTCTTAAATCAACGAGCGTTTAACTGATGAATATTTCAAACAAACCAAAAGTGGAATGATGAAAGGATTTCTTACTTGAAATTCACTAATGACCAAGTAGTCAATGGTAAACTTTATAAATCAATATTTCATAAAGCGGATCTTTTGGTTAAAACCAGCTATCTAACTATTCATCTATTAGTATTATGATTTGTTTATCGGTTTCAATATCTATAAGTTTGTATAGATTTTATATAGACATCGTGATCAGTAGTTTTATCCTTTTACATTTAAAAGACTATATTATTTTAGATAAGTTCATAGTCTAAACGACCTGGAACAAAGGCTTTTTACAGCAATGTTTCTTAAATGTTTTTTTTGTGTTTTGTTTTATTTTGAATCAACATAAATCCACTTAGTGATTACTTGGTTGAATATACTATTAAATGTACAAAGTGATAATTGAACTTAAACGAATGCAAATTTGTTTGTTAAAAAAAGAGCGGAAATAGTTGGTAAAACACTAATTTTGAGAAAAAAATCTAGAAAAAAATTGCACTTTATAATTGAAGCATTTTGAAAGACTAATGAAGTTTGCTAGGCATATTCACGCAATATATTTTTGCGCCTTCAACATCAAATATTTGAAGTCACATAGAAACTAAATTTTCTACATGGTTCATTAACATTGTGTGACTAAATCTCCCATATACTGTTGACACTGAATTTTATTTTTACAGGTAACATCATAGGTTAACAGTTTTGCACTCTAATCTATGTTGCTACATATTTAAAAATGTTGGAACATTTCGGTATGGTGAATGTTTTTGAATAGACTCTATAGCTGTTCAATAAATATTGGGCGGTAGTTGAAATTCATTATTTTAGTAACTAACAATTTGTTACTATAAAATGTCTTATTCATTTATTATTGTCTGTTAAAAAATGTTAACAACCTATCATTCAAATGTAAACAGCAAATGGATTGTGAATTTAACTAAATCTATCATTAGTTTTCTGTGTATTCTGTTTAGACAATAATCCAATCAGTTCTATCTAATCGATTTACAATATGAATTTCAATGACAATGTTAACTAATTACAAACTACTGGAGAAATATAAGCACTACAAATTAGTCAATCGTTTTTAGTCTTATTAATACATTTGCAATGTTATAGTGATATCAAACAATAGAAGATAAATGATTATTCATTTTCACATATCTTTCTATCATGAGCTAACGTAACTATTTTTGGACAATCGATAAATGAAACCTTAAGTCATTCAGTAGTCCATTATTCAGTTGATCACGAGATTAAAATTAATCGATAGCATCCTTAACTTAACAGTTACCCTCCTTAATTAAGTTTATAATAATTCAGAAAGAAAGACAAACAATTAACCGGAAGTCTTATAGATTATTCAAAGTTTTTTGAGTATATGAAATATTGGTAAACTGTACTCCAAGCTATTGTTTCGTTATTCAAGGTTACAAATAATGCATTTACAAATTTACAAACAAATACAACTTATATCATATCAATTTTAACCTGTGACATCAGTTTTTATTATATCATTGTACAAATGTATTAGAAGTATTTGAAGTCACACAGAAACTTAAGTTTCTACATGCTTCATTAACGTTGTGTGACTAAAACTCTCAAACATACCTATTTCTGATTGTCTAATTATTGAGTGTTATATTTAGAGTTACTTGTTTAAAACATATGCTCAAACATTTACTGATGTTGGTTGTGAAGGCTTATGGAGACTAACTTAATTCATAGGCTGTATTCGTTACATACTAATCTCAGTCAGGATACCATTGAACACCATAGTTCACAGTACAGCTGTTTTTTCTTTGAATGAATTCCCAGTAAGACATGGCTGTTTTGTCAGCATAATCTAATACACAAATTCATGGTTATATTTGGCTAGCTTAAAGTTTATCAAATATCTATCGTATCATAATGAGTTATAACAACATTCAAGAAATAATTACATGTATAACTCAAGACGTCGATCATTACACATGTGGGTTAAAGTAACTACAATTAGAAAAATTGAAGATTAAATTTCTATAGTCACAGTATAAAGAATGTTTTTCAGCACAAGTAGAATTCACATATAACCATAGTTGATTAGTTCAATGAGTGAAGCACCAGCTCAGTAATATGAATTTCTGATATTTCATTCTAAAAGCAATAAAGATTTTCTCTTGACTTTCTCATTACTTTTTTATTATCTTCAAATAAAACATTTTTCGAAAAGGTTCAAGTCACACTGACTGGTAACTAAATAATAACTACTTAAGTGTGACCACTGGCTTAGGCAACGTGACATCATGTGATTTAAAATCATCGTTAAAAAGTCATCTACCTTATGATCCAGCAATTTTCCTCTTAATAAGAAAACATATCTTAAATCTTTGAAGAGCTAGTGTGTCTCATTGGATTTCACCACATCTGCTTCATCAAACAAATAATGTTTTCAATTTAATAGTTGAATTCCTGAGCTCATTGAAGCTAGACCACTAGAGCGAACCTGCAAGCATTAAACAGCCGTTTCGTCCTAGTATGGGACTCATCGGCAATGCTCATCACAATCCCACCCTGCGAGTTTCCAATCCAGGACCTATCGGTCTCGCGCGTGAACGCTTAACCTCTAGACCACTGAGCCGGTCGACATCCAACAGTATTAATATCTAACTTCAACTAATCCAATTTTTCAAATGTTGATCAAATATCAACTGACTTGCCCAAATATCACTTTTAACAATTATTATTATTAGTTTTAGATAATCCATTAATAAAAGCTTCATGTCTTAATCAATTTCATTGTAGTTAACATAACAAGATTATTTGAATATAGGTTTGTCAACTTAAATGATAAATGAATTATGTTTACATACATTAGTACAAATGAAATATCATATAGTTGACTTGATTGGAGAAATAACAGACAACCTGTGTAAATAGATAACTGATATGTACATGCATATATAACTAGATAATCTATTTAAACTATATTTCTTTAAACATAAAACTTTTAACATAAATCATATTAGTTCATATGTTATTGTGAATTTTCCATATATGGATCATCATTAAATATTATATCATATGATTTGATTTGATAATAAATATCTTTATTTTATTAGTTTCCCTGGGTCATTAGATAGATAATAAATTGAATTCGTAATTATTATTTAATAATCCCATGAAAGAGTTACCAAATTAAAAGATTCAATAATTCGAATGAAAATCAATATTGTAATTGTTTATTGCTTTTAATTATATTACCAAAATAGATTACATAACTATTATGTTTATTTAGTATTTTGAATCATGGATACTGAGCAATTTATTTTCTTTATATATATATATCTACATACAGTACTTATTTGTTTAATTTTCTAAATGCTTATAACGATTGTAAAATAATTAAATTGATCCATTCTATTCTTAGTCTTATCCTGATTGGTCAATTTCATACTCAGAAAAGATTAAAAATTGTTGTTAATTTAAGACTAAAATACTTGTGTGATCATGAGATTATGGGATTTTTGTTTGTTTATTTATTTTAGGGTTTAATTAATTGTTTACATACATTGTGAAATGTTCATTTCATTTTGCTACACTGAAAAGATTGTGTATATTATTGTTGAGTACACTACTAACTTCTTTTGTTGAGCACAGTATAATTATAAAACAAAAATACATTTTGAATAATTATCGATTCATACTTTTCATTTATATGCTATTATTGACACAGTTTTTCGATAATGTTGACAGTACAAGCCAACCTCCTTTTGATACTTGATACATCTAAAATATTTTAATGAGAATGTAATTTCATTCTATTGTCTAATATACCATTGTGGTGTGTGCTACTTATGTCGACATAAGTAGTATGTAACGATAGTTTGGTCAAGAAAAAAAGAATGGGAACAGAGAGTTATTCGTATGAAAATGCAGGAACAATGAACTCTGAGACGGTTGACTGATATTTGCAAAAGGAATAGTCAAGTTTGAGACAATTGATTGATATTTTTACTATATGCTTCACAGATTTTACTAAGATGTGCTTTAATTTCATGTTCAAATACATTTGATTGTCCCCAATTATGTTGTCATTCCCTACACCATCACATCTTGTTAAATAATCATTCATGAATGAAAAGACTTACTGAACACTACATCAGTGAACAAGAAACAATTTTCTCTAATTTGTTGTTATTCATTCTTTAATAAAGTGAACTTTGATTTAATGATAGAAAATGAGCTTTGATAATATCTTTCATGAATTCTTGATGACAAAAGAATTGTCAGACATTAATAAAGTACTAACATTATCATATAGTTAAACCCGCATGTTTCATCATCTTTCATTTTTATTACAATGCACTAATCGGCTACTATAACTAACAAACATTCTAACATGATGTAACCAAAAGGTAATATAAACGAAACTCACTCAAGGTGCAAACATAACAATAATGTGTATGTCAGTTCAAGTGGTAATATTAAGTTTTGTAGTTAAACGATATGTTCTTATATCATGTCAAGTATGAGGCAATTATATCTTCGGATCCCAACGTATAAACTACTGAAATCAAATGGTCAGTAACTTATTCTATATGTATGACACAGTTTATGAGGATTTTTATTATTCTGTTTTTAATTATAAAAAATCTAGGTATTATCTGTCGATTTCTGAAAGAATTGTCATAGCTTTTTAATTGAATATCTTCATTCTCAATGTGATGATAGAAACTATGATGTGAGTATGCCCAGCTGATTAGTCTGGAATAGGGTGGAACAGAATTAATGGGTGTCGACGCTTACTATAACTAACAAACATTCTAACATGTAACTAAAAGGTAATATCTACGAAACTCACTCAAGGTGCAAACATAACAACAGAGACTGATGAATTGGATTTCATAATAATAACAGCCGGGAAATACAAACCCTTATAAAATGTTAACGACCTTCACACCGACTGAAAACTTAATGCAATAGATCTATGCAAACTATTTAAGTCTGTGACATAAAAAATGAATTTGAAAGTAAATTTTTTAATATATCCGTTTTGCCAGTGTGTGATTTAAATATCTATGATATAGACTCATTAAAGAGGAAAAATGTATTTGTAAAATCTCAGCGAAAGAATTCAGATTTACTTCACAAGCTCGTCACTTTTAAACCCTAGATATATTCTACATATATAGAATTAGCACATGTCTAGATATAGGATAGCGATAATCCATTTCTACTTATGAACACTCTATTTGTCCTTACATGATGTGACGTTTATTTATTTAGTTATAGGAACATTTGTGCTAAATAAATAAAAAGTCCATGTGGTTTTGTGAATGCGTTTGTGTGGGAATTTGGTGCCGCCTATGACCAAATTATTGAAGGCACATAGGTTTCCAAATCTCTCACCATTTTCGTTCCTTTCTCCCATTCCTTGACGTCCCATGATGTCTTCATATCCAGTGTTGTCCATTCCAACCTTGGCGTTGAAATCTCCCATCAGAATGGTCAGGTCCTTTGTTTGCCACTTCTCGATGATTGACTGCAGCCTATTGTAGAATTGATCTTTAGCGACTTCATTGTAGTCGTTGGTAGGCGCATAGCATTGGATGATGTTCATTGAAATACCCTCGTTCTTTGTTTTGAACGAGGCTTTGATGATCCTTGGTCCATGAGATTCCCATCCTATAAGCGCATTTTGCGCTTGTTTGGACAGCATCAATGAACTCCTTGTGTATGTTGGGCATTTTCTTCTTCAAGGCCGGAGTATAACAGAAGCTCTCCTGAAGTTAGTCGTTGTTGTCCAACTTGCGTCCAATGGGTTTCACTGATCCCAAGCACCTCTAGGTTGTATCTCCTCATTTCTGCAGCAATTTGGAGGGCTCTTCCGGTGTCTCACATTGTACGAACATTCCATGTACCTAAATAAATGGTCGCTCTGGTTGTCAGAAGGGGCATCGGCCTCGTAGCTTCCGAAGGAATTCGGCTTTCATCCTGAGGCGACATAGTTCTTCTAAATGAAGACCTTCTGAATCCCAGGGAAGAGTTTGAAAGGTTTGAATAATTCTTTCTGGTTAGCGTTGTTTTAGCGAGTTAGTTTTCTACGGGATGGGGACGCTAACCCCATGCCCAACCCTCCTCCTTTATCCGGGCTTGGGACCGGCAGTAGCCCCAGGAGGGACTACAGGCGGAGTTATAGAAATCCTATGCACTACATGAGAATTGAATTTTTAATATTTTTATATTCTATACAAAGCACCTGTCTTCCTAGCGCCTTATTGTAATATCAGTTTAGTTTTAGTTAAAATGACAATTAATAATGATAACTCTGAAACTAGCATGGAATATACTACTATATTAGATGAATAGTAGTTATGTTATATCAATGAAGAACGGCAAATGATTTGATCGATCGTCTACTGTTTAAAATAATTTTTTTTTAAATCAATATGTGATAGATTCGATGTCTAATAATACAATTAATTAATTTATCAGTGCGCATTCGTTTAACTAAAGATCAATACGTATCAATGCTGGTGCATAAACATTACTGTTAACGCATATAACTATAGTGAGAGTCATTATTCGACTCAAGTGGAAAAAATCGCTTGATTAATAACACACAATATATTTAATTTCTGGTTAAGTAACCTCAAGTAATAATGTTGTTCAAACTGGGTAAAATCAAGAGCTGCTGGAATTTAGTTAAATAAAGAATCTACCAAGTGATACTTGTGAACGAAAAGAGACATCTATAATCAGTTGATCTCATCAGAACGAGTGACTTTACAGTGCATTTAATAACAAAATAAGACATCTAACTCAAATAAGATCATAATCTCATAGATTGTTAATTTCCTAAATTAAACCTTTATGTTAAACTTGAATTTTGTTTGTCCATCAAATGCAACAAATTTCCGCATTGATTGGTTCACTAGTTCGGAGTAAGGTTCAGTGAATCAAAGTTAGAATATATTCCATCTATGACACTTGATATGAACGAAAAACATGAAAAGTAATAATTGTCATATGCAAGCGACATGATATCAAGAACCATTATATAGCATTCAAGATTTTTGAAATAATTAAACGTGGATTGAACTCTAAGTGATTAATGAACTGGAGATACCAAATGAAAGTATAAAAGTGTCATCGAAAAAGACTCCATTTCTGCATAATGGACTGATGCAAACAATGTTGATGAGGTGAAACAGTTTGAAACTTTTTAATTCAACAATTTCACTGTATTAATGAGAATAAACTAAAGAATTATTAATACAGAAATGTCTCCTTTAACGAACTTTTCTTAGCGGAACAAAATTAACAGTTTATTTTATCAAAGTATAAACCATGGTATATATCGTTCAAAGATCCCCGTCATATTAAAAGACTAGTATTTGAACGAAGAATATTCTTTTCGATAAATTCTCATCAGGTTCTACAATTATATATCCAAATTAATAATCCGAAAAAATGGCCAGGTTAAGGGCAAAGTACATCGTTTAGAGCATGTGAATTTAGGATTGTGTTAAACAAAATACAATAATGAAGAATATTTGAGCGAACAATTGTTTTCAATAACTTCATCATCAGGCTCTACAGTTGTAAGTCCATAATTATAATATTTTACAAAGGCCAAACATTAAGGCATGTATTAATGAATTTGACAATGTTACGTGTTAAAAATGGTAAACGTTTGCATCCGTTACGATATACACCTATATATATACTTCAAAATTGTATTATTTGACAAATTAGAAAGGTCATTCAATAAAGGTCAGGATGATTTGGAAGTAAAGTGTTTAGTCACCATAAGTAGAATAGTATGAAAATGCAAAGAAAAATTGTGTGAATAAAATGCATAGTAGGAGAATTTGATCTTGTCAATTGAGATAATAATAATAATAATAATAATAATAATAATAATAATGACTGTAATATGTAATAAGGGGAGTGTTATCAAGGTAATTACAATCAACGAATTAGGAATGATGAATGTGAAGATTAAGATTAAGATAATCAAAAATAATGACAATAAGGTAAATAAATGAAATAAAGGAAGGGGGTAAGAGGTTTATAATATTCAGTCCAGGTATTCGGTGATCCAGTGGTAGGCCACGGTAAACATAGAGGCTGGATATATTTCTTCTGGATACATAAATTAGGTCTTCTGGAGTTGATCCAGATGGCTTCGGCCATGTAAAGTAGTCGTAATCTGGCTCCTTGAGGTAGATATTTTGGAACTTGATATAAAACAGAGAAAGCTTCCTCTTTTGGTGGAGTTTTGTTCTCTGAGCTGGATGGTTTAGTCGACTAAACCATCCAGCTCAGAGAACAAAACTCCACCAAAATCATCCACCTGAGCTACAAATCTTCTCCACCATCTCAAAGCTTCCTCTATTTTGATATGATGTTCACTATCTACCAAGTGAGAAAGAATGGTGCTGTTAATCGATTTGGTAACTCCTTTTCCCAACCAAGCTGGTACATGTTCACGAACACGCAAGGATAAAGCCCTCTGAGTACGGCCTATGTAACTAGCTCTACAGGACCATTGAATTGGTATACACCCATCTTCGGTAACTTATCCTTGATTAGTTGTATGAGTACTGGTTTAGTCGAGAAAATTATGTGTAACTTGGCGGCATGAAACATCCTTTCGACAGATCTTTTGAGTCGACGTGTTAGAACATCACTCGCTATGTCCCCTTTAAAGTCATGTCTCAGATATAAGGTCTTTTTACTGACTGTGTCGCAGTGTCTTCTTTTTTTATTAGTATTTTGTGCGAGGTATTTTTTGACGAAATTATCAGGATAGTCATTATTTCGTAATGTTTTACTTAGTATATCTGTTTCGTCATTCACACTGTCTTCAGAAAATAATAACTTGATTCTGTGGTTGAGACATTTAACCAAATTTATTTTATATTGAAGAGGTGTGAAGCTTTGGAAATGGGTAAACTGACCCGTACATGTACTCTTTCTAAATATATTTCGCTTTATGGAACCATCTATCCTTCTAGAAAGTAAGACATCCTCGCTGGTGAATTGAATGGCTGGGTGGACATTTCAACAGAAGTTCTTTCATTTTAATAACTGGGATTGGTATCTCTATTTTCTTTTCTAGCAGTTGTTCACACATGTAATCGATAGTTTCAATCAGAGGGATGTTAGTGAACTAAGATGTAAAATATTATAATTATGGACTTATAACTGTAGAGCCTGATGATGAAGTTATTGAAAA